GGGGTCATGGGGTGGGGCTCAGCTGCCACGTGAGCATCTGCAAGGTTCCCCCATCGTGATGGGTGACCAGCTCCCTGGGGTCCTGCTTCTGCCCCAGGGGACCCTGGAGAACCCAGGCATCAACCAGCGGGCCCTGCAGCTGCTGTTCTCCGAGGTGCGGGAGAAGGCGGCCGACTGGGAGTACACCATCACCGTGAGCGCCGCCGAGATCTACAACGAGGTCCTCAGGTTGGCGCCCCCCTTGGCAGGCCCTGGGGGGTGCTCAGGCCTCCAGCAGCTTGAGGACCCGCAGCTGTGTGGAGCCACGGGGTCCGGGTCGGGGCCAGAAAGGCAGTTGGGGTTTTGATTGGTGGGGGGCTCTGTTGGGGCGGACCCCAGGGAGCAGCGAGGAGGAAGGCTCGCTCTGAGCTCATGGGCGGCACCCCAAACAGCTGCTCTTTACCCCCACAAAGCGGCTTCACCCTACCTGTGGGCTACTTCGGGTGGCAGTGAACAAGAGCCACGGACCGTGCACCCCACCAGTGGCGGGCTGGGTCTGCACCCACAGCCCTGAGTGCAGGGGGGAGCTGGAGGAGGGGGTACACTAGCTGAGGGTTCGGGTGGGGGACGCTTAGCCAGGTGGAGCAGGTGTAGTGCAGGGAGGGGAGAGTGGGAGGGAGTAACGGCCACTCGCCCCTGCAGGGACCTGCTGGGACAGGAGCCCCAGGAGAAACTGGAGATCCGGCTGTGCCCCGACGGCAGCGGGCAGCTGTACGTGCCCGGGCTGACCGAGTTCCGGGTGCAGAGCGTGGAGGACATCAACAAGGTGTGGGCTGGGGGCCCGGGAAATGCTGGGGAGACCCGGCCCCCCAAAAGCAGGGCTGAGCGGCTAGCGGGGAGCCGGGCTCCCACGCAGGTGCCGCAGGCCTGACCCGGCCACCCCCCGGGCGCCCCTGAGCCTCAGTTTCCCCCTCTGTAAAGTGCTGAGGTGTTGCGGCCTCCGCAGGTGTTTGAGTTCGGCCACACCAACCGCACCACGGAGTTCACCAACCTGAACGAGCACAGCTCCCGCTCGCACGCGCTGCTCATCGTGACGGTGCGCGGCGTGGACGGCAGCACAGGCGTGCGCACCACGGGTGAGTGAGGCCCCGGCCGGCGCCCCCTTCCCCCGCTTCGCCCCTCCC